TATATATATATATATATATATATATAGGCCACTGCTGTTACTGCTTGTCAATTTGCCAAATATGAATTTCGGTTGTATCCACCTTCTGCATACATGTATTTTGTCAAAAAACATAAAAACAAAAGCATAATTCATGAACTGAGTTTGTTTAGAAACTTTATTGAAACATACAGGTCTGTGATGGGCATTTTGGAAATGTATACATTTATAATGAGTGGAGAACATGAAAGCTTCATAGCACCACCTTGATCAGATTAAACACGTAGGAAATGCAACATATGCCTATTAATCAAAGAAGATTTGCCACTGAATCTGCTGCATATGCTTTGAAACACTTGCAACTAAGTTTGAAAGGCACTTTAAAGACAGATTTACCTACTCCGTTGATACATATGGAACAATCTCTGGTGTACATTTGACTAAATGAAATCATAACCTGTGCTTCTAAACATGAATAAGGCACTGTCCATGAGGCTGGACCAGGCAACACTTTGTCTCCTTCTAAAAAGCTTATCTTTTCACCATACATTTAATTTCAGACACAATCTATTTTTAAAGGACACTGATGCTGCACCTTGATTAGAGTTGTGCAAATATGAAGTAATAATTCTTAAAGCGATATAAATAAACCTTTGAGAACTGGTATGATGGACAGTAATGATCACATCAATAGTATCAAAAGTAGTTAGTTTCCAGACGCTCCCTACAGGCAATCGTGCATATATCACATGCTCCTGTTCATGGGTTTCTTTCACAGAAGTGCACCAATTAAAAAAATAAAATAAAAATACACAACAGATGTGCAAATACTTTGTCCTACACAGACAGACATTCAGCTACATGTTAAAGCTCACACGCACGCACACACGCACACAGAAATAAAGTTATGAGATGCAATTAGTAGGGCTATTGCAGGTGGCAGTAACATGTATATTAAAAATGAATGTTGCTATCTAAAGCATAACACTGAGGATCAAAGGAAATAGTAAAGGACTGATAGTACAGTAATAATGCTACAAAAGCTTTAGTTTCCAGGTAAACAACTAAACCAAACCAAGTTGATCTGAAAAGCATAGAAACAAATTGCTAAAAATCTAAACAATACATTCAATGTGAAATGAAAGAAAAAAGGCACAGGGATTAAAAAAAAGAAAGAAAGAAAATACTTTCCATACAGGAGTCTCACATTCTGTTATTGTCATTTATGACGATAATACAAAAGGAAAACAGTGTTCTGTTCCAAAATACAGTACGAGAAAAAAAAAGACAACTTCCTGTTTCAAAATGTGAACTCAGTCCTCCAGTATTTCAGCTTACAGTATAAGTGAGATTTCAGTGAGAAGATATTGCACGTTATCGTGATTTGTCAAGTCATGATTTCATAAATGACGTCGTCTGATTGAACAGGTCAAGTCCAAGGATTTGATTCTGTTTTAATGTTGGGATTTGTCTGACCATTAAGGGTTATATTTTAATCCAGTAAAAGTCATGACTGCCCACCCACAATTCTGGATGACTATTTATTTGAACATGCCATTAGATCCCATTTTGATGTTTGGGATTATACCCAGAATGCTTTGTATTCAGTGTCCTTCATTTAGTTACCAATCTGAACAGTCTAAGAAAATGTGTACATTATTTTGGACACAATTGTAAGAATTCAAAACTATATGCAAAGGTAATTGCTAATGACATGTACCATGATGGAAAAAACAACAACAACTTTTGGTTACATTTAGGTCTAATGATGTCCATATATTGAGGGTGAGGTCTGATTAGTCGAGTCACCTAAAAGATGAAGTCTAATCGGTCCGGTCATATAATTGGTGGAGTCTGGTTGGTCAGGTCATATAATGAGTGATGGCTCTCAAAGCATAGAGCAGCTCGGCCTGCATTCGAGCCTCCATTAGAAGCAAATTCACATGAACCTGGATCAAGGAAAGCGAGAATATCAGTATATTGCTTGGGTTTTCAATGGCTCTTTACCGAATAAAAAATACAATTAATAATAAATTATAAATCTTAAATAAATGTTCAAATTTGCCATGATAATATGACTCACCTTCTCAGAGTGTCTGAACTGGTGCCAGTAGCTCTCGTACATGCGGCGAGTGGTTCTCTCCGGATAACACGTCACTGTTTTAATGTAAACCTTCAGACTGCGCTCCAACAACTGATTCACCTCACCGTAGTCATAGTCGTCGTATCTGCAGACACAGTAAGAATGTTCATCTTACAATATTAGGCAGGGCTGGACTTCAGTACACCTGGTTGTCCTGTGCTAGTACACTAGAGGGCGCTATGGGCGTACATACTGTACACTGTATTACAGTCGCATACTATTATTTTTCTGCAGTGTACAGCATGGAACACCCAGATGACATTTAACAAAATGTGTAGTATACAACAGTGCACAAAACTGTTGTTATTGTTAACTAAAACTATTAAAAAATTGTTTCCGTTCATTGAAACACGGAAAATAAAATTCTACAATATAAGTAAAATAAAATATAAAATGAAATGTTAAGTTAAAAACATAGAATTAGAAATGTATCAGAGTACGTTTAATCTGAAGAATTAAAATGACTCAACCTAAAACTGAAATAAAAAAAACTAAAACTTGATAGAAATATAAACCCCAAAATTACTTAAACTAAAATTAAAATGATGAAAATACAAGATAACTGATGTATGTAAATGATAGTATATAAACTCTATCCCAGTGAAATAACACTGTCTCCCAGAATGCAATGTCCTTGATTAGACCTGTGTGAGGACTGAGCTAGAAGTATTATCCACAATGATTTTTAACACACGTTTTTAAAAATATTATAGACAATATATTCCATTCCAAACACTTTTTTGTTTTTATTTGATTCCTGATGTGAGACTGCTAATTCTTTTTCATTAGCAGAGTTTTATGAGTCTCGTCTGTGTTCACAGACGTACCGTATTCCGTACATACAGTGAACATAGTTGAAGAGAGCCCTGCGCAGCATGCTGGTGTCCACCCCCTCATGACTGGCCATGTTGTAATAGGTAAGATCACATGCCGTTCTGAATTTATCATCCAAAAGGTGACCGATGTCAGAGTACAACCTGTTCACCAGAGAGAAACCATGATCCTCCCATGAGTAGTCCTACAGAGTGAACAAGACAGAATGATCAATCAATCACTCTCAGTGGGGTATAAAAACAATAATGCTGTATATGTGGAAATTTGAGGGTGTTTGTCATACTTGTGCTTTAAAAGTGGGTGGGTTGTCTTCTCCGTGTCGCGCAAAGTCTTGGTACCCAAATGACGGGTCGTCTACAAACCGAGCCACGGGAGAAGGAGGCACCACTTCCTCATCAAACCCTGCATATGAAAATCACAATATTTTAATACAAGTACTTCAGACTAAAGACAGCTAGATCCTTTCTTGTTTTCAAGGAATGGTTCAAATCCGGCACGTCGACTGCTCATGCTTAGTTTGACGTCCTTTATGACAAAAGGCAAATACAGTCATACAGGTTTAGAACGGCATGTGGCTGAGTACACAATGGTAGAATTTTCATTTTGGTAATTTATCCCTTTAATTCATGATTTACCACAAGACCAAAAGTGAAGGAAATTAGGGGGGGAAAGGACAAAATGGAGGAAATAGAGAGAAGAAAAAACAAAAAGAAAGTAAAACAGTCTAGTACTGTTTTAGTGTAAGTATATGTAGAAGTTTCAGCTTTTATTAGCATGTAATATTTTCATTATGAAAGAAAAGATGTCCTATGAACTAGGCCAGGGCGATAAAACGGTATTGATATTTATCGACGGTACACCCTCTTCGATAACGATAGAAAAATTGTTCGATATAGCGCATGCTGAATTGAGTGCTGTGCCTGCCTGTGATGAGGCGATTGTGAATAAAAAAATTTATATTAGTCGAATTTAAAATAAACATTTGCATTTGAATGTAAAAATAGTACAATCGAATGTTAGGAGTGCGTCAGGGAGCGTCATCAGTGGCGCACGAGATGCGGTGATGATGATGTAATTGACGTTTTTGTGTTTTAATGTTTTGTTAGTCTAGCCCACGAGACGCGCAGTTGTGCGTTATTCATTCAAAATATTAGCGAAATATAATAGCTCAATGCATAGAAGAACTTGATTAGGTTATTAAACTAAAATTAAAATGATGAAAATACAAGATAACTGATGTATGTAAATGATAGTATATAAACTCTATCCCAGTGAAATAACACTGTCTCCCAGAATGCAATGTCCTTGATTAGACCTGTGTGAGGACTGAGCTAGAAGTATTATCCACAATGATTTTTAACACACGTTTTTTAAAATATTATAGACAATATTTTCCATTCCAAACACTTTTTTGTTTTTATTTGATTCCTGATGTGAGACTGCTAACTTTTTTTACATTAGCAGAGTTTTATGAGTCTCGTCTGTGTTCACAGACGTACCGTATTCCGTACATACAGTGAACATAGTTGAAGAGAGCCCTGCGCAGCATGCTGGTGTCCACCCCCTCGTGACTGGCCATGTTGTAATAGGTAAGATCACATGCCGTTCTGAATTTATCATCCAAAAGGTGACCGATGTCAGAGTACAACCTGTTCACCAGAGAGAAACCATGATCCTCCCATGAGTAGTCCTACAGAGTGAACAAGACAGAATGATCAATCAATCACTCTCAGTGGGGTATAAAAACAATAATGCTGTATATGTGGAAATTTGAGGGTGTTTGTCATACTTGTGCTTTAAAAGTGGGTGGGTTGTCTTCTCCGTGTCGCGCAAAGTCTTGGTACCCAAATGACGGGTCGTCTACAAACCGAGCCACGGGAGAAGGAGGCACCACTTCCTCATCAAACCCTGCATATGAAAATCACAATATTTTAATACAAGTACTTCAGACTAAAGACAGCTAGATCCTTTCTTGTTTTCAAGGAATGGTTCAAATACGGCACGTCGACTGCTCATGCTTAGTTTGACGTCCTTTATGACAAAAGGCAAATACAGTCATACAGGTTTAGAACGGCATGTGGCTGAGTACACAATGGTAGAATTTTCATTTTGGTAATTTATCCCTTTAATTCATGATTTACCACAAGACCAAAAGTGAAGGAAATTAGGGGGGGAAAGGACAAAATGGAGGAAATAGAGAGAAGAAAAAACAAAAAGAAAGTAAAACAGTCTAGTACTGTTTTAGTGTAAGTATATGTAGAAGTTTCAGCTTTTATTAGCATGTAATATTTTCATTATGAAAGAAAAGATGTCCTATGAACTAGGCCAGGGCGATAAAACGGTATTGATATTTATCGACGGTACACCCTCTTCGATAACGATAGAAAAATTGTTCGATATAGCGCATGCTGAATTGAGTGCTGTGCCTGCCTGTGATGAGGCGATTGTGAATAAATTTTTTTTATATTAAGTCGAATTTAAAATAAACATTTGTATTTGAATGCAAAAATAGTACAATCAAATGTTAGGTGTGCGTCTGGGAGCGTCATCAGTGGAGCGCGAGATGCAGTGATGATGATGCAAGTGACGTTGTTGCATTTGAATGTTTTATAAGTCAAGCCCACGAGACGCGCAGTTGCTGCGTTATTCATTCAAAATATTACAGAAATATTGAAGCTCAATGCGGAGAAGATCTTGAATGGGTTAAAACCGAAACCAAGCCATTCACACGGAACGCATATTCAGCGCATTTTTTAGACGGACAAATTATGACTGCTGCTGTCACGTCTCACACAAGAGATGTATAGAAAGCCATGCAAAGTTAAAACAGTTTAAACTTTTAGAAAACACGTCACGAATTTGTGGAGGTTTATTCCTTTTCACTGCGTCTCTTATGTTTTTAAATGCAATCTGAGTGATGGGCGATTCGGCTCTTTGTATTAAGTAATGCATAAATACATGATGCTGTTTTGTTCATAATTGTTTATGCAATTTACGAAATTATGTTAAGTTAATTTTGATGTAATGCACGTTTTTTTATAGACAGTTATTTCCTTTGCGTTGGAAATTTAATGCACTGCATTATTTTGCTCATTGTGCCCTACTGTGGCCTCGGGAGACAAGCCAAAAGTTTCCTCAAGACCTATTTAATCTGCATATAAAACATTCGAAATTAGATATTTGTAAAATTTTTATTTTGTGTTTGACTGTTAAAACAAAAAAATATTTGTTGTTTGTTTCAATAAATTGGGTTAATTTAAAAATACAGTGGTTAAATTTAAACGTTTTTTCTATTGCTCTTTTTTTTTTAAAAGGTTATAAAAAATGTCAATAATTATCGATACCGAACGATATGAAACATTATATCGTTGATATGTTTTTTTAGCTATATCACCCAGCCCTACTATGAACTGAAAAAGAGCTGTCGGGTAGGAAGTATCTGTGTTGTAATACCTGCAGACACCACTAGAAGACTCTCTTTCTTTTCTTTCTCAAAACGAGTGAACATCTCCTCCTCTGACGCATCATCGTCTTCTCTCTCCTCCAACAATCGCTTCATTCTCTCCATCAGAGCTTTCAGCTCACTCTGAAATACACAAAAATAGAGTTCAAAAATGATATGCTACTTGTATATAACAAAATTGTCCAAACAAATATTGAATCACGCATACATAATTATTGTACATAAAATAATTATAAAATAATGATATAATACATTATTTATACAATATATATGTATATATTCCACATAATTTTTTGAATTAACTAAATGAAGCCTGTATAAGAATTTTTTTATTTTTTGCATTGTAAAAATATTTTTATGGAAATTAAGCATACATAGTTTTTTTTTTACTTTAATACATTAAAATACTGTTTTACAGTAACAAGAATCTGTATGCAGAATATAATTACTTTTTTAACTTGGTAAAATACGATCTGAACATGTTTTCCTGATATAAAAATACAAAAATAACACAAGGACACGTTGTAATGGTTTCCTACCCCAGTGTCAGGGTTACACACGGGGTTCCCGTTGGCTTGGTTGCTGTTTGTTAGGTGGCAGGTGCATAAACCCGCCATGCCTGGAGGGCAAAGGTCATCCGTGACCCCGTTGACCTCTGTGACCTCAGGGTCTGTGTTGACACCGCTACCAAATACAAAACTAGCCAAGGCATGGAAATGAGCCAACAGTACGACAGCATGAACCAGCTCTGCCAGAGACCAGCTGTGTTCTCCTGTCTTCACCAGAGCCTGAGACACAGAGAGTGTAAGATTATTGACATTTGATGTAATTATGATTTCAACAAATATAATGAACAATACAACATTGATCAAGACTCTGTATATCAAGATACTGTATGTGTTCACCTACATAGGGTCATGTAACGCCAGAAGGCTACCATACTATGCTACTATTTCTACTATAAATGTGTAGTATGCACTTTTCCAACATGCATTTCCCAAAACATAGTAGACTACATGGAATGTTGTATCCCACAATGCAAGTGCATTGACTTGATTTCCAAGGTGAGGAATGCACAGGACGTAAAATCTTATTTGACTCAGTGTTTGATTTGACTACGAATTAAGATGTTTTAACACAAAACTGGATTGAAAATGCAAAACTTTTATTTAGAAGATATTGCAGCCTCTGAATTAAACAAGCATGTAGTGACAACAAATGTTATGGACTATAGTTTGAAATGTTTTTTGTTGCATGATGACATAAATGTTGCATAATGCTTGCATAATGCTAAAACAATTCTGTGTATACTAGGGCTGCACGATACTGGAAAAAAATTACATTGCTGTATTCTTTTTTTCTGCAATTTATATAAAAATACAGAAATGTTTTCCAGATGACTTGAATAGCTATATGTGGAAAGAGTTAATCATTCTAGAATGAGTGGGGTGATCTTGCAGTGGAGTGCAAAATTAAAATAGTAATTTTTTTAAAAAGCTGAAAAATTATTTTTAGACCTAAGCGATTGGGAAAAACTTTTTTTTTTTTTTTTTTTTTGGGGTGTTCACACATGGGTTTACCGTTTACAATAACCAACTCAAGTTTAAAAAAAAATAGTTTAAAAAATCCAAAATTGGTGCTGTTTTTGACTAATTCTATAAATTGATTAGAAATAATAATTGTGGTTTTATTGCAATATTGTAATTGTTGTAAAGTAAAAATAAAAAAATCAAGTATTTAATTAAAAAATCATTTTATTTTATAGTACAACTGTAAATTGACAATACTAATATTTACGTCTCGATTAATTTTTCTTAAACGTTAAACCATTAAGCTTTTATTTTGACAGGTTGCTAGCAATAGACGTATGCACTGCTGATTTTAGAGTGAAGCTCAGACTATGTTCTTCTGTATGCGGGCAGCTCGTGATCCGGTGTTTTCAGTGTCTCAAATTGGCTTGACTCACAGTAAATAAACCAAGCCATTCTGAAAAGCTTAAGCACTGTATCATGGGCTGCAAGCATGTGGATGAGCAGTGCCATTAAGGTAACGTTTTTATTTAAATCACAGTCCGCACAATTTTGACAATTGCACTAAGCCATAAACAATTAGATTTTCATATTCCATGCAGCCCTAGTGTATATCGAACAATAAGCAAGAAAGCTAGTGTTTTACCTGTATGTGTTGCTTGGTAATGAGCCAAGGTCTGTGCGCGAGGATCTTGTTAATCTCGTTGAGGTTGCGAAGTCGTTGTGGGCAGAACTCCAGACCTCTCAGCCAATCAGAACAGACACCTATCTGCTCGAACTCTTGCACATGCTGACAGACCAGCGTGGAACACTGATGCCGTGCTGCAGCCTGGAAAAGATGAAAAAAAAAATCACTCATAAAATGATTCCAGTTAAATAAAGTCTCTTTTGAAAGTGTTTTTTGTGAGTTTGTACCATTATAGCGATATAATGCCTGTAGTGAAGTGGTAGTGGGCCGTCCATCCTCAGGAGATAATAGTGGCAGCGGAGAAATGCTTGCAGATAATGTGGGTGAAGCCCCATCACCTGCGTCATGTTGTCCATACGACCACTGAACTCTTCGTCTAAGAACATCACTGTGGAGTCACTCAGAGGCATGGCTCCTATGATCTGGGATGAGAATCAGACATCAGACTGTATGTATTTTCCTGACATAAAAGTACTCTGGCCAGATGATAATACTAATTAAATATGTGGTCTGTCAGATTTTGTCATGTGAGAAGGCACTAACATGTAATGCAATGAATCAGAGCCAAGAACTCTTGAACTCTAGTTCAGGTTCATCTTAATTCAGCAAAGTGAGGGCAGATGCTATAATTCAATTTACAATCTAAATACACTTTCTAAGATCTCCTGGCACGCTTAACTTGGATTCAATGAAAATAATCTCTGAACCAATTGAACTCAAATCAAAAATGAAATGAACACCAGCTGACCCAAGAAAGAACGATTACAGTATCTGAGTTGGGTGCACTTGCATTGAATGAATGTGTGATAAAAGAACAGAAAGAATTTTCCATTACAAAAAGTTTGGAACTTTGACATATATTATGGTATTGAAAGAATTCTATAGTAATACACCGTGGTATTTACATGGCACTGCTAGATACACTCCTGTGACACTGAAGACTGGAGTAATGCTGAAAATTCAGCTTTGTATGACAAGATTAAATTACACTTTAAAATATATTCAAATAGAAACCATTTTTTTATAGTAATAATATTTCATAGTATTATTGTTTTACTGTTTTTTGATCAAATAAATTCAGCATTGGCGAGCATAAGAGACTTCTTTCAAATATATAAAAAAATCTTAACGGACTTTTGAACGGTAGTACATTTCAAAGAATATCATAGTAATACCATGGTAAATGTAGAAATTAAGTATTACCTCATTTTCTGGAATAAATGAGCTTGGTCCTGTTGATATGTGTCTTGACATCTTCATTCCTTTTTCCTGAGGAAAACATAATGATGATGAATATGAAGAAAATATCCTGACAAAACGATCAAATAAAAAATGTGTTTACTGAATTGTGTGTTTTTTTATGTTAAAATAGTTTCTTCAGTCTCAGGTCAATGCAGAGACAAATACAAGTAAGCCATCTGTAGCTTAATTCCGCACAGCAACAGTGGCTCAACCAATGGTTTGAGTTTGGGGGCGGAGCTACTTGTTTATTCAACTAATGGCAGGCAGGTGAAACCTGTTTGAAAGCAGTCATTCTTTCAGAGACACTAATGCCTCAGAAATTGTTTAACAAACATAAAGAGAAGAACATTCAGGAGATATTCCAACAAAAGTATCATAGTGTGTTTAATGTATATATTTTAAAGAGCACAACATTGATTTTCAGGTCGATTTTGCGTCTCCCTGGTTTATTTTGAAAAGTCCCTCCCAGTCTTTGTTGCTCCTGTTACACCGAAAGGTAAGAGTTCCATGAAAACTGTGTTTGTGTTTTATGTGTGTTCGCTACACTGGCTATAATGCCACGGGTGTAAGGGTCACTTCAGTTCAGTGGCCCAAGACCTGGACACACCAAATCTCTTTCCCTGTCATTCTAACCCTCCCTTTCAATTTATCTATCCTTCCTTCCTTCTCTTCAGGATTTGGGTTTGTTCAGGATACCCCACCACCCACCCCAAACCACCACATATACACAAACGGTGTTGTATTTGCGGTCAGAAGTCTTTTGCCTCCACTCTGCAGCCTTGTTGGAAACCTCTGCTGTTTATATAACACTAACCTACACTGTAAAAAAAAATCGGTGACATTTACGGTAAAATACCGGCAGCTGTGGTTGCCAGAACTTCACCGTAAAAAATATGGTAGCGACATTTTAGGTTTTACAGACTTAACTTAAATTCACAATAAAATACCGTATTTTTTTTATTTCATTAACTGATGTAATGTTAATAAACCAACATAATGAAGTACTAATATCTATTTTGAACCATTGTAATGCACTGATACCCACCAAAAACTGGTGGTGATGAGAAAGTCACATGATGAACCAAAGCTCATCACAAACAGCTTTTCTACGAGCTGAGGAGGGCAGTACTTATATATAGAAGGTGCACAGTGTCATTCACACAAACACTAAACCCCATCATGGTGACACACATGATACTGAAATAATGCAATAAACATTCATTTAACAACATTAGATGTAAGACTAAACCCTAATGTGCACAACTGATAAGAAAAACTAAGAAGAAACGTTAGTTCAACAACAACAAAAAAACTTCAAATATGAAGTTTCATGCAGGGAATTCTGGGAGTGTCAATTTACGGTCTGTCACTTCCAAAAACCGTATTTTTAACAGTATTTTACTGTAAAATTACATTAAATGTAATAACATTTATTCACCGAATATAGTATGCAAACTTACAGTTAACCAGTTAACAGGTTTTTACTGTAGCATTTTTACAGTATTTTACTGTTAAAATCACAATCATTTTTTACAGTGTAGAACTAATAAGGGTCTGCACAACCAGACATATATTTTAGTGGTAAATCCGATGCACAAGGTCCTAAACATGTGATTTATTATTTTATTTTGTTTTTCCAAGGATGCAAAAATTGTGGGAGGAAAGATTGAGCAACACAAAGACAAGGAGAGTTTTGTTTTAGGCTTGTTGGTTTCTTACATTCACTGCTCTACTGAAAGAGAACAAGACTCTACCTATTAAATAAAGAAAGTAAATAGACTGCACAAACAAAGAGGACAAGCAGCAAACAGAGGGAGGTCAGAAGAGAAAAAAAAACAGAAAAGGCTTTTGAAAGAGAAGCCTCCAGCGTTAACCAACTCCACTGAAACCCATTCACAGTGTGTGTACAGCTGTGTTGTTACTGCTAACGAAAACTAATTAATGAAAAATAGAAGCTGAAATAAATTGTAAATATTAGACAACTTATACTTTAAAGTCAAGGATAAACACTGAAGACTACATTACTTCAGTCTTCAGTGTCACACGATCATTCAGAAATCAGTCTAATATGCTGATTTGCTGCTCAGGAAATATTTATTATCAATGTTAAAAACAGTTGTTGCTTAATATTTTTGTAGAAACTGTGATATATTTTTTTTCTGCATTCTGAGATGAATAGTTCAAAAGAACAATTTATTGGAATAGAAATCTTTTGTAACCTTATATAGCATTTTGAACAATTTAATGGATCCTTGCAGAATAAAATTAATTTCTTTAAAAAAAAAAAAATCTTACTGACCTCGATTTGTGATTGGTAGTGTATGTTTTTACAAGGCATACCCGTTATAAAAGTCTTCAACTTCACAAGAAGCATTTCCCTCATGTGTTACATAATAATCAAAGTCAAACAAAACACGAGAGAGAAGAGATATGGATAAGACAGAGGGAGAATCACAGGATAAGTGAGACTAATTTAATCAGTTTAGTTTGTTCTCTATGCTTAACGTGTGTAAAGTCTGTGTGTATTTGCAATGAGGCTGCAATGATTTGCCGTCCAGATCTGTTTGACACACACAGAAACATTGATACTGCACTGTTACCACTGTGACCTGCACCTTGAAAATGCATCACCACTCCCGGCCAATCAAAACGTGGCATACTATCAGCACTGATAATGCTTAAGACTGTCATTCTGCAGCACTGTTGTCATGACAGCAGCATGAATGTCCATGGATAGAAGCAGCGTTTTCTTCAATCAGTCTGGGACAGTGTCCAGATTTAAACTTTTTTTAAAAAGAATGAATAGAAATGACAAAAAACTTGAGAAAATTAAATCTATGAATATGAATAAATGTTAATCTATGCGCATGAATAAAATACTGAAATGTCTACACTAGGGCTGCCCAAACTCTGTCCTGGAGGTCCGGTGTCCTGCAGAGTTTGGCTCCAACTTGCCTCAACACACCTGCCTTCAAGTTTCTAGTATGCCTAGTAAGAGCTTGATTAGCTGGATCAGATGTGTTTGATTAGGGTTGGAGCTAAACTCTTCAGGACACCGGCCCTCCAGGACCGAGTTTAGACACCCCTGATGTACTCTACACTGTAAAAAAAAAAAAAAAAATCTAATTTTTAATTAAAACAAATATAATTGGAGTATGTTTTACAAGAAAATACTATTTCAGTCTTTCTACTTCAAATTTACATGTTTAATTCAATGTGTTACTGGCCGTTTCTTGCAATTCCAAGTTTATATTTCACAAATGTGACGACTTTTCTCATAATTGTGAGACAAATACTTGCAGTTATACACCCCAATTCTGGGGGAGGGGGGATTTCTTCAGAATTGCGAGATATAAAAGTGCAATTCTGAGAAACATTTTTCCTCAAAATTGGACTTTATAACTCGCAATTGCAAGTCAATATCTTACAATTCTGAAAAATTCTTTATTTCTCGGAACTGCACATTTATATCTGGCAATTCTGAGAAGAAAAAAAAGTCAGAAATGCGAGATGTAAACTCGTAATTGCGAGAGAGACAGAATTGTGAGATAAAAAGTCACATTGCCTTTTGTACCTTTTATTCAGTGGCATAGATGAACAGAAATACAAAAATAATTTTTTGTTGATAATAGTAAGAATTTTATTAATTAAAAAACTTGAGGCCTTACAAAATTTGACCATAGTAACCAGTTTCCCACTAAAATACTATAATTATACTTTTTACTGTCTCTTTCATATTATATATATTTTGAGGAAAAACTGTTCTAACAATAATTTTATTAACTATAGTATTTTGTCAGAAAAACAAAATTTTTTATATGGCATTTCCATGCTACTTTTCCAATTACATGGAGTATTGCCACTTTTACCATGTAAATAGTACAATAAGCACAGTACTATAACTATGGTTTCATGGTTTTAACTACTTGTTTCATGCATAAATAAAACCTACTACAGCAAATCTAGAGTTACCACCCAAATATTGTTCATTTGTGTTTATCACTGTTAATTTTTATATGGGTGGTTTTTATGCTTGTACTGTATGTACAGGTCATTTCATAAAAATCAAGGTTGTGGTTTTAAGCCTCGACCAGCCACTCCTTGATCTTCTTAAGTCTGTTCTCAATGCTCAAATCGACGCTGGATTACAGCGGAGGTGTCTGAACAGTTCTCTCGCCTTTAGACATGTCTGGCTTTATGTATTACAGGATTCTATTGTTCCAGCATTCTGCTTTTGCCCAGTCAAGCTTTTGATTCAAAATAGCTGTCCAGAATCCTATATGCTTCCTTCCCCTCCAGGACCTGGCGCTCTGCCTTCAGCCAAAGAGACGAGAAGTGTAAGTGCGTTTTAAAGAGACGAAGAGGGTAAAAATGTGGGTCTGTCTGGGACTGGTCGTGTCTTATGTTCTGGGGGAAAGTGCAGAAATATTTTTCTCCATGACAGCAAAGGTGGGTGTAGAACAAAATCACACACATATACAGTAATTACATAAGTCCACTTTTGTGCTCCGTTTAAACAAATGAGTGTTTCTTCAGGCCTACTCTCTTACTGAGTTTGTAGAAAGAGAGAGAAAGAGACCGAGACATGAATAAAATATGGAAGAGGAAGGGTAAGAGAGAGAGAAAGAGAGCGAGAGATGATATAACGATATAAATGTTAACAAATATTTAGTGTCTCGGTGAGGATTAGGATTAGGTTTGATCTTCAGTGAAGTTTTTTTTTTAATGGGATGTAATGAGAGAACGAAGGGTTATTATGGAGCGGTTTACTGGGGATTACTCACGAGTTCTTCAAGAATATGGTTAAATTAAAGTGCCCCTATGATGGATTTTTGAAAATGGCCTTTCATGCAGTGTGTAACACAGCTCTAGGTGAATAAAAAAAAAACTGCAAAGTTTTAAATCTGAAAGTGCACCGTGTATAAAGTTATTGTCTCTCAAAAGAAAGAGTCGACTCTGAATCACTGAAATGAGTCATTTTTAAAACGAATCCCAAGCCGTTTTGACGTCAACATGAAACATTAGCATATTGCCTGCTCACTTGTTGGTCTGTTCGCGTTGGTCTAAATGCTAATTCATTCTTTGCCACTAGTTGCCGCTTTTGGAGCAGTAGAATAGCGGTTTCCCCGGTAACGCTGTACACAAAGCAGCACTGCGCTCACAAACGCTGCTTTATCAGGCATTACAGGTGAGATTAAATGAAAATGAGACCAATCGGACCAATCACCGCAGTTTAGCGTCATGCAAAGGAGGGGTTTGGAAAAATGAATCGTTAAACGAATCATTTGGGAGTCGTTGAGCAAATAAGGTAAAAATAAATTTATATTATAAGACAATGAAAGTGTTTTTTGACTTTGCATGCATGTCAGCCTGTTGTTGGAGACTCCCAAAATCAAAATATGAACCTTTCATAACCCATAATAGAGGCACTTTAAATTCAGCGTGATGTGTAATTTATAGTGTCTTAATATTCATATTTTCACAGCAGAGCACTCAAAATGTGTTTTACAATAAACCAATTAAACCATTTAAATAATGGAAATGAAGCTGAAATAAAATATACATTTAAATATAAATTGTATATGAAAAACTTAAATTAAAGTAAAAAAAAAAAAACTTTTTAAAAAATGTACACATTTGAAATGTTGCCTTAGCAACAAACTGAAATAAAATAAGTTGAAGTTGAAGTGCTAAAAATTTGTAATTTGCTAAAAAAAACTGAAATAAATACTGTATAAATAATATAAATTAGAAACATAAGAAAACTAATAAAAATGACAAGAGCACATAAAATTACTAAAGTGTAATTCAAACTCAAATGTAAATATAAAAATAGGCTAATATAAATAAATACTAGAATAATATTTAAATAATACTAAAATAAATAACTCTGTCCTGAATACACTGCACGTATCAGTCATGGCTGTAGCACAAATGGTGTGGGTGGGTTACATTTTAAAGATTATTATAATTTTTTTTTTTTTTTCAAAACAATCACAAAACTTCTAACCAAAAGCACAAAGGTTAAATTCAACCTCAATTTAAGATCAAATAAATTTCATTATTGTGCAATTATTGTACGCCAACAGATTGTGCATGAAATCAACTGAATAAATCAAAAATATAGTAAATAAAAACAAATATGCACTTTTAGGACATTAAAAATAATTTTTTTCGGGGGGGAGGGGGGTTCTTACACAATAGCATGTTTCTCTCATGAGGGTCCTCCCCCTGGTGATCACTGGATTGCGTCAGAGTCTGTGGCCCTTGAATGATGCCATTAAGCTCATAAAAGATTATGCAACACTGGCAGAATGCACAGGTTTTAGTTTTGCTTGATCAGACGGCTGGTGGCACCGTGACAAATGTGCCCAGCCGCCACTTGCGTCCTCACTCAATTAGTGGTTTGGAGTATTTGTAGTTCTCATGTCTACCCACAGATCTCAGCTCAAACACGACTACAGAACGTACAGGCACTGTTGCTGTCCCCGACGGGTCACTATGTGGTAACGGGGCAGTGCGATTCATTGGTCAATTATGTCACACCAGCGCACACGGCAGCTGGAGGAACAGGAAGTGTGTCAGCTGCTGAATCAGCAAAACTCAGCAGCACAATTTATATGGGGCTTCTATCTGTCTCTCTTTCAAGCAAGAAACCATTGAAAGACAAAACTGGTTGCGTCGATGCAAGTCACAGTTTTGTTGCTGTTCAATTCCACAGTAAAGCCATTGTTGCTTTTTCACTGAAGCGTGTGATGGCAAACAGGAATAAAGACAGGTAAATATGAACCAACACAGGTGGTATGGGATCGGGTTATAAGAGAGATCATTTTTGCTCTATGTGAGTCTTGAGTTGCTTATAAGATTAAGTTTTTAAGATTTTTATGTCAAAATACATTCTCTTACCCCAGTTTATTCTTTATTGACCATAAGTATGCCATTCATGGGTTTATATCCCAGAAAAGTGTAAATATTGAGCCTCCCAGGCACCATCAAAATATTTAAAAGCGATTAAAAGCTCAGTTCCGTCAATCTATCCAGCTTAACCAATAGCAAGAGTTTGGGGGCATGGCTACTGTAGCAGGCTGAGCCAGATGGTGTTTAGCCGAGGTGGGAACATGGCGGATGTTACATGGGAAATTAAATTCAGATTTGGTTACAGAAGTGCAAGCCAAATTTCGAAAATGTGCCAAAACATGCTTTTACAAGATGGTGGATTTGACGGGATGTCTGGAGCTGCATCTCTCATATGACGCACTATGCACTAGGTACTTATACAACTCAACCATGTAGTGTATGAACAATATAAGGTTACTTATTTTGTAGTCTTGCGTAGCCAAACCTTCAGACTGACGGCTGAAGGTCTGGAATTCATGGTAGCTTTCATTGGCCAAGGCCCGCCCATGAGGACGTTTGACCGACATGTCAAACAACCAATCACAGTTCATTTCGATTCAGTGTCACGCTTCGTGGGCGTGGAATTGTCGCCATAATAACAGACCGGTGTGTAAAACTCTCGGACGTAGTTTAAAGATTCTATGTCGCGAATTTGAAATATTTCACATACTTTTGAGAATCCAGCGTTTAGTTGATCCTGATAAGCGCTCATCGTCACAGCTGTAAACATGACGGATTTCTTCTTTCGTGAGGGGGTTTGGCACCACGGCATCTTTTGTTTCCAGGCGGAATGTTAAAGAACGCGACACACACGTCTCCCGGAAATCCTGTATAATTCAACCAATCCGATGACGACTTCGAAACTCCTGAAGTGTTTCCACTTTTGTGTGCCGTATGCATCAGACGTTCAGCCAACGGTCAGTGGCCGTGATGTCTGAGGCTGAGACTACTTATTTTGTCATTCATAATCTGAGTCTGATAGCCTCTCCTCCACTACATAATTAAAGCTGCAACAGTTGGGTGCATGAAGTATCCAACATTCCACACTTTGTTTTTTTTGGTTATTTAAGTGCACTTTTTCTTTTTGGAATTTTCAGTGTGAACACTCTACTCGCACTACTTATACTACAAAACGGCATTGACTAGTGCATAAGTACGTAACAGGGACACACCTTGGGTTTCAATCGAGACGCCGAACAGAGTTTCTTCTCGGCAGGAAATGGTGCATTCCATTAGTACATGGAATTAAGAAATTCTGAGTTCCCAGTCAGAGTTCTGATTCTGAAACTTCGAGGCAAGTTTAATTTTTAGGTGAAATATTCCTTTAATGTACCAATGCAGTGGTGTAAAGAACTAGAGCATAAATGTTCTTTGTGTTCTAATTGGTTATAATTTGACTCTAATTATGAATAGCATTATTTTTCTGCAGGTCAAGGCAGGGCAAAGAAGGGTTTCAACTGAATGATCCCAACCATGGAGAGCAACAGGTGAGAAGACATGCTGATGGGTTATGACAACAACCAGTGAAACGGGTAATAAAGAACCCTGTCGGCATGACAAACTGACCACAAATCCCCCAAACCATTCTCATATAACAGGTGTTATCCAAACACACACATATTGTGTCAGGCACTCAAAATACAGGTTTGCATACAGCCACAGGATAACTCGCAGTATCTGCTCCCGGCTGCTGTTATAGACATGAAGATCAAACAAAGAGCTTGCAAGCCTTCAGCCAACAGTTCAATCTGATAAATGCCAGCTCGTGTTTCAGTATTAAAGTCCAGTTTTATTTACAACAACTTTTGGCAGGGTGTATGTGAGAGGAAGATGTGCAGAGCAGAAGTAGGTCACATGTGTTCAACATGATTAATGACAGCTAAAAATATCATCTTCCAGCCAAAGAAAAGAGAGAGGGATGATAGCAGGATTTCAGATGAGATGAGTAGGTCACTAAGTTAGCCTCTGATACAATCAAAGTATGATGAAATGCTTACCATTTAAACCTTATGTCACAAAAATCAATAGATAGATAGATAGATAGACATAACTTTCTATTAGTCATTACAAGAGGTTAGCATATATACTATCTCTCTCTATATATATATATCTATATACATACACACACAACTTTCCATTACTCATTACAAAAGAGGCTATCAAAATGTTTTGAAATGCTTACCATTTAAACTATGATTAACTGTGTGTGTGTGTGTGTGTGTATAGATAGACATAACTTTCAATTACTCATCACAAAAGAGGTTATCATATGATACATAACGTTACACATAACTTTTTGCAAATATATATCATTTATATAATTTTTGCAAATACACTCATTGGAAAATATAGGTAAAGCATACATAAGACTATATGTGTGGTCACGGTTGTATTTAACTATTCATCCAATTATCTATCAGTTAAAAACATACATAGTTTGAAGAAATAAAGTAATATAGGTGACTAAGTAAACCTCTCTGGGTCGCCAGAGATACAGAAATGTCTGATAGTAATGCACAAACCATACATTACACTACAAACCAAATGCACCACGATCAGGATCAAATGCATGTTTAAGGAACACGTGTGACTGAAATTATATATATATATATAAGAATAAAAGTTTGATGCATAAACACACAAAGAATAACGTTACCTTTTCTCTGATTATGTTCCGGCAGTGGTTGCAGATGTCGGTGGTTCCGTTCATTCTGGCAAGCTTAAACCAGGCGAAGAGCTGAATCCCGGTGTACTGGTCTGGGCATGTCCGCTGCAAGCCCCTTTAAGGACGATCAAGACCTGAAAGAGTACTGGTGGAGACTCCTCCGTATCCCTTCGCAGTGCGCAGAGCTCTTCAACATGAGCGTGTGCTACACGCCCCCTCAGCTGTTCTCTTTCTATCCGACTCCCGAGTGAATCACTCTTGTGAACCGATTCGTAACGCGCTTGTGAATCACTCAACTGATGACTTCGTTTGGGTAAACCTGTGAGATTGAAAAAAAAAATATATATATATATATATATATATATATATATATATCGAGAATAAGTAATATTAACATTGCCAATCATTAATAATATTACTTTAATCTATTATGAACAAAAAATATATTTCTCCGCTAGTTGCGAAATACAAGCCTATTCTCTAAAACATTAGTAACAAACCAATAGTAGCCTACTGTCATTATTTATCACATTATTGTAGATATAAACATCACAAATTCATTATGTTTTGTTTAAAATGTTTCAAGATTTGAGAGATGACTCAAACGAATCGGTTCATTGAACCACCCGTAAGAACCAACTCGCTAAAAAAGAATCGGACGTCGCAATGCTATTCTCTTCACGAGCCACTGCCCCCTCTTGTTCAGACATGTTTCTCTCACTTTAAGTGTGCTGCATATCAAAAATTTTAAGACTATCTGTGAAGGGCCTTGTATATTTTTTTCATGTACAGAGTTAAATTATTCAATTATTTTGTATGCAATCAGGGACTGGATGTTTTATGACTTAACAGCTCCCAATGAAATGTCTGTGCTGAGGTCAATGGCTCATATAACCTCTAATAAAACAGTGTATTGCACCAAGGTGTCTGATTAGATTTCACTATCTCTATATTTTTCCTAAACTGCTTCTGAAACACATTTGCTCTCTTTCAATATGCATTGACTGCTTTATTTCCTAGGGGAAATAAGCATGGCTGTTCAAACAGTCATTGTCTGGAGTGCAGGGAATGCAACTCAATTGTTTTTTACAGTGTATGCAAACAGGAGCCTTGAATAGAGTTGGGAATTGCTGACTGAGTGGAATGACCATCAGACGGTGTGGACACGAGCCAAACCCAGCAGGATTTTGGTCCATGGGTTCATGAAAGCAGCCCACGGTGTGCTACTAAAAACATTCCTATGATCTCCGACTGATGTTGGAGAGTTCAGATGAAATGAATGCCGGCCTACATAAACTTGTTCATGCTGTGATGTTCTGTTGTTCAAATAGATTGCAAAATGTCACTCAGCTTCAAGTTTCTGCCTAAAGTTAGGGAGTTTTTCTTCTAAAAGCATGATGGGGCAACATACAGCACATGTTAGCGGTGCTTTAGCATTTAGTCAGCAAATTCCATGGTGATCCTTAAACATTAAACCCTTAAGTCAAGAAAATCCGCATGGATCTTGGTTGAAAAAGAAACCCAAACTGACAAGTTGTCTTTTTTCTTCCCTGCCACCAGAGTTTAATTTCACCCGGCAACAACGTGATGTCATCAGGAGAGAGAAAAATCAGCCAATCACATTGCCAACTGATCAGCCAGAGGTCACGATGCTGTATCCTAGCATTTATCCTGTATCCGACCATTTATATACGATTGTAGTTTTTATTAATATTTTGAATTACTTTTTATTTTTATATTTTCTACTTTCATTTTAATTTTAGTTAGTTTTAGTAATTTTGTAGGTTTTTGTTTTTAAAATATGTCTATATATTTCTTCATTTTATTTAGATTTTAAATTTAGTTATTTAGTTATTCAAGTTACTCTAAAAGAAAATGAGAAATTTAGCTACAATAAAATTATATTTTATTTCATTTCGGGTAATGATTTTTCATTTATATTTTAGTCTCACTATTATTTTAGCTTTTATTAACAATTTAGTTTCAGCTCAGATTCCCCAAAAAATCTATATCTGAAACCTTTTTTAAACAGTTGCATCATTGTTTGTTCAGTTTTGACTAATGCACACAAACTAGGCTTATCATTAATGTAAATAGCTTGACAAATTTTAGTCATTTGATATATAGTGTCTCTTGCTTTGCAGCTTCTTTCCATAGAGTAGCCTAACCATGATAACGAACATTACTGCAAATATGTTATGTATATATTTAGCCTACATGTGCAGTTTATTTCCATTGAATAACGTTTTTTCCACGTGAAAGTTGTATGAGTGTGCAAAGCAAAAAAAATAACATAAAATGGAAAAATCCTTTTGAAACCTTACATTTCTCGTTCGGCCTTTGCCTGACAAAAGGAATCGTGTGATAAATTTACCTGCTGGCGGCCTCTTGTGGACAAATGTTGAAGCAAAATTTAAAAAACAAACTTTTCTAAGTGTCGTGCTGTCCAAAAGATGGCGCTGCTTGCAGGCACCCTCTTACTAAAACAACTTGTGTTTTAGACTGTCAACTAGGACGATACATTTACATTGTTTTTGCTTGCACAGATAGATAGATAGATAGATAGATAGATAGATAGATAGATAGATAGATAGATAGATAGATAGATAGATAGATAGATAGATAGATAGATAGATAGATAGATGCACCATATGCTTGCCTCTCTGCATGTTTAAGTCTGTGTCTTGTCAGCAAGAGAAAATTAATTTTACAGTTTTATGACAAAAGGAGATGGGACAGTAATTATTAAACATGTTCATCATTTCTACTGATCCCTCACTCCTATCTGCCTATCATTCATCTTTCTTGTCCCTGTTTTGTGTTTCATTAATCTTCTCCTCCCCATCTTTGTTCCTCCTCACTCACTCCTCCCATATTCTCTGTCTCTTAGTTTTCAGCTCTCATTTGAATGAGCGACTTCAGTCCTTGCCGGTCTTTAAGGTGACTTCACCATTTCATATGCTTTTTCTAGAATTAATATTATTTTCTTTGCAAATGCATTTCTACTTGTTTCTTGAAGGTTTGTGTCATTTCAAACAATGAAGCTAAGCAGAAGAGAGGTTCCTATTTATGTGAGTAACACTTTTCTGTCTCTTTTTCTGTCTTTGCCTGTGTTTTTAAGATACAAAAATCTTGCTAATGTGCTTTTAGAAAAAGAATTGCTATGCAGGTCTACAATGAAATATATGAAAGTAAACTATTGGCCGTCATGTCAATGATGTCAAAGCCATCTGGAGCCACAATGGCAGGATTCATGTAACGGTAATAGAGCAGAGTCCCAACAATCTGTGGGAAGAAGATGGCACCATTCAGACAGCACTTATTTCATGTGAACCAATATTTTCCTGGGTTCTTAAGATGTTAAATCTTTAAGCAGTTGTGGTTTGGTGCGTTAAGCAAATACAGCTACATTTCAAGTATGAAAAGAGTTTTGCAGACAGGCCTAGTGAATACTTATTTTAAACTAAACATTTGTATGGATACAGGGGTACCACTTAAATTTTTAACATCTGACCTTTAATAATTCATCCTCTGTGGCGTCAGGGAATTTCTCATGAAGAGTGTCCTTTAGAACTTTAGCAATATATCTCATGCCGTAACTGCATGCAAAAGAAAACAGATAAAATGATGCAAAAGTAAAAATCAGATCAGCAGCAGAAAAAAAAATCTGGCCATACCTTAAAATAATGAGATGACTGTAATGCATGAGCAAAATATTACACAATGCTATGTGTTGAAAATGTATCTTGTTTTGGACTGACTCCATATTTTTAACTACTGTGCTGCCCCCTGGTGCACAATGACACTGTTACATTCGATAAAGTTAAAGGGGTCATATGATGCGATTTCACGTTTTCCTTTCTCTTTGGAGTGTTACAAGCTGATTGTGCATAGATACGATCCCTGAAGTTGCAAAGACTAAAGTCTCAAATCCAAAGAGATATTCTTTATCAAAGTTAAGACTCTGCCACGCCCCCCTAAAACGGCTCGTTCTAACACGCCCCCACATATCTACCTCCCTATGTGGAAATATTTGCATAATGCTGCCCAAATGTTCACGCAAAGAAAGAAGGTGTGGTTTCAGTAACCGCAGTTAGTTTGAAGCAGCCATCTCAGGGAGACGCTGTGTGTTTCTAGGTGAAAGCAAAAGCACTTTATTTGGCCTTCCGAAAGTAGATGCATTTAGGAATATTTAGGATTACGTACAACAGAACAGCAATGCATCTTATGGACGACCGTTTCGTGAACCTATGAGAGGAGGTAATTTTGACTTTGCTATGACAATCTGGCGCTTCTGAATCAGCTACTGTTTTGTTATTAGTTTAAGTATTTACTATTGACTGTTCAAATGCAGAGTTTTGCGCATCGTGTGTGTGTGTGCGAGAGAGAGTGAGAGAAAGAACGAGAGCGAAAGCACGAGAGAAAGAGAGAGAGCGAACGCGTGAGCGAGAGAGAGAGAGGGGGGGGTGGTCACAACACAGTGGAGTCAGCTGTCTTAACCGTGGCTTGTGTACTGCAAACACATACCAGCTTCATCACTGTGTCTGTCACGTGACTCTGTTCCCCTTTCGGGCTCTGTCTTTACATTTATTTTGAAAGATGAAGCTCGCGATTATGGTAAGGGGCGTTACATTTCCGACGAGTGCTTGCAGTGTTCGGCCAATCACAATGCACTGGGTCAGCTGGCCACTGCGTTTGTCGGAAGGAGGGACTTTGTTGAAAACTAAGCGTTTGAGAGAGGCGGGGCATAGAGGACCTACAATAATGTACAGTATTTGAAAAATAATGTGTTTTTTGAACATTAAAGCATGTCAACATATTCTGTTACACCAAATACACAAAATAATGATCTTTAAAAAAAGCATCATATGACCCCTTTAATATATGTTTTTTTAAAGCCAAATGATAACTATGTGTGACAAAAAGCCAGAAATGTCATTATTCACTAATTTGGAACTAAATGTTTCTCACACAAAGCTACTGAATGGATTCCAGAGACTTAATATATATTTCACAAGCAACACAAAAAAACTTAATTTTTCTTCTTTTCACACTTTCTCTATCAGCCCTCCTAATCCATTATCCACGCCCCTGGCAGGCGTGTCACAGGTGTGGGCAGGTAAATCCCACCTCCTCAGGTTTAGCCACGCCTCTGGGATGATGTCTCTGTCTGTGTGTGTATCCGAGTCCTGTCCTACTACACAAACCTTCCAGTCATCCATATTACTGCTGCGAGAGTGTGTGAAGGATTCTGCTCTACTAAACAAGGTCAGATAATAGAGGTTAAAGGTCACACAGATATTACTATAAGTTTAGTACTGAATTTGCTTTGAAGAAGAAGCAAGATAATAAAGATTTTTTATTTTTTTTTGTCTGTATGTGTTTTATACAATCTCAGATCAAAGGTCTGAGAGTGGATACAGACAGAAGAGCTGAAAGCAACACTCTGTTTTCATTCTCAGGTTAATGTTTCTCCTATGATTATGAAAATTACATTCACAAGGCTGACTGTATATTATCTAGTTCAAGTATCTGATGAATGTATGATGGCAGCTCTATAAACTTTCTCCTTTTTTCTCTCCCATTTTTATCCACCCCTTATTAAGGATCTCCATACTCTCTGCTTCACAATGTAAGTGGCTGTGACAGACTGAAATATTTAGCCTAACTACCAAAACTACTAGTACTCTACTGAAAATTGGATATGTTAGATGACTGATCGTCTTTAGAGAAATTAGCTAGTTACACTAACTACACAGGGAAAAAATGATAACAAACCGCTCAAGACGATTCAGCATTAGTGAATTCAGCATTAGTGGATAATCCAGATAGAATCATGAACCTTTTTTATTTTGGTTTTAGAACGAAAGAATTAAATGACTAAACTAATGAAGAATGTTCTTGACATTTCTCACAAAAATGAACAGTTAGTTAACCAAAATATATACACTAAGTGTGTTTCTAATATAAGTTCGAGCGTACACTCGAGTGAACTTCAAAATGATTCAGATGAATCGCGAACCGTTCATTGAGAAACCGCTCCAAACGATTCAGAGCTTGAGTGAACCAATTTGAGATCAATTCATGAAAAAGAACCGACTTCATATGATTCAACTGATTCATTCACGATTCGGGCGTCGGTATATGATTCTAAACAGCTGAAAGAACATTTGGGACACGCGAGTTGATTGCCGAAATATTGTCAAGGAAAATTTAACACTGTAGCAACTGTTAACTCCATCTTGCTGCTTACTCAATAAAATATCTTCGCTAACACTAACACTAGTCGGAAGTGTCGTTGGATAGTTTTACTGTTGTTGTGAAATTTGAACTCTAGTGTTTAATTTCTCATTTTTAGTCCTGCTTTTTTAAAGGTATGGTTTAATAATTCCAGTCAGGATGAAGATGAGGAACTTTTATCATCTGACGACTCTGGTAAATGTATATCTTTACAAAGTTATGATGAGATTGGAGGTGTTTACATCAGTATAACAAAATATTTAATGGCTTCTTTAATCGTATTGTAAATGTGCATTCAAAAGTACACATGTTTAAAATATATGCTTTATGTCGACTGAAAAGACAAAAAAGTTCAGTCAAAAGAGTATTGTACCTGCTAGTTAACTTTTGAACCATTCATAAGACTCCCAATAAATAACTTTTTTAATAAAGTTGAAGGGTTCTCCCCTTATTATTTTTAGAAGGGAAAATGAAATGGCTAGACTAATAATGAAGAATGTTCTTGACATTTCCTACAGCTGATCGACCAATAGATATACAGAAAGTGTATTTAAAAATTCGGACTCTGCCTAAACCTTTATAACTGTTGAAATTTTGTATCTTGATTTCAAAATTCATGCTTGTGTTTTAGTTGATGGACTCACAACTCATACTGATTCAACATCCAGTTCGCCCACTGACTCCAGCGTTACCATAACGAACAGCATCAACACTCTGCATGCTGGTGAGGATCAGGTGAGGTAAAAATGTATTCATAAAGGCTTTTTTTGAATGTGTAGTTTCTAGAATCATTATGCATGCAAGATTTGTCATGCCATATGTAACAAGAAAAATCCTCTTTTTTCATTAGTCAATTTATCCTCAGGAGGAATCATTTGACTCTTTTGAGTTTGAATCAGACTCTACAGCATCTGAACAAGACTCTCCAGTCCAAGACAAATTACCCATCTATAGTCCACAGGACGGTGTGTTTGACTGTCTTTATTCCTATGTGTATCTGCATTAGTGTGTTCAAAACAGATTGAGACGTGCAAAATAAAGTATACTAGTTTGCATGGACGTTTTTAATTTTTTAATTTTCTAGGGCCGTTTCCCTTCAGCAATGAAGAAACATCCACAGGGATCAGACAGTATTTGATCTCACACACCCATACACATACAGTCATTTGTGCATAACATTATTTCTTATATACTTATTTTAGATGCTTAACTGTGTTTCACTATTTATTTCCAAATTCCTAGTATGTGGTGTAACAAGTCAGAGGAAGAAGAGAAAGAGAAATTCATCCCTACATCCAAAAGTGAGACAGAGAAATATAAAGTGAGTCGAACATTAAGCTTTCTCAGGAGCCGGATGGTCAACACCAAAATAAAAAACAAGGTGAGAGAAAGATGGTAAAAGAGACTTTCTGTACTGTGCACCAGACTAAAGTTAAATGTAAGTCTTGAAATAAAACTTTTGATTTGTTTTTAATGAATTTTATATGCAACAATGACCACATCAGAAAATTTTAGGGGAAAGATTACATATGTATAATTTGGCATTTGTGTTTTTTTTAAATGAATAAATGATATATAAGAAACAAAAAATAGATAAAATAGAATGAAGTGTATATAAAATATATAGAAAATGTTTTTATTGTCTATGAAGAATATATAGCACTTTGTACAAATTGAAGGTTTAAACAAAATATATTTTCATTTTTTTCAATATATTTTTTCAATATGTGTGTTTTATTCAATATTTATTTTCAGTATTTCTATTTAAATACAACATGTATTTACAATGTTAAAAAAAAAATTCATCAACTTCGTGCTGTGGATCGCCGGATCGGCTTTCACCGTGGACGAAGTGGAGTCCAGCCCGGGGTCACCACATGTGGTTGTCGCAAGCCTGCCCACCGCCGCTCACTCTAGGCCGCCGTGTGTGATGCTGTGTTTTGTTGTGAAAGTGAAACTACTTGTTTGGTCTTCCAAAAAAGGACACGACTAGAAATCAGTGGTTAAGTTGTATTTACAACACTGTTCCAGAACAGTTTAACCCAAATATTCAGATGTGTGCAGCACATTTTATGGAGGACTTTTTCCTGATCCTGAAAGAGTAGACTACAATGCCGGCTGTTCTGACTCACAGACTGTAAGTACGTTTTCATTTTAAGGATTTGCCTTAAAATCCTTAAAAATAATTTTAAGGATGATTCAAATGCGAGCAGTGTAGAGTAGCGCTTGTTGTTTGTCATTTCTCCGATCACAAATGCAGACATGGTTTTATGTTTACGCAGCGCGATGCAACGCAACGTGTAAAAAGACAGTATAAGTCATTATAATCCGTAATTATGTCCCCACTGGATGCAACAAATGCCTCGTTTATAATGGGGTTTTTTTGTCTCGTTGCTCCAGCCGGGACTAGGCATCACAATGTGGTAAGGGGTGTAACATTTACGTCACACGCTTGAGGTATTCGGCCAATCACAACGCATTGGATAGCTGGCCTGGTGATATCTGTAATTAGGAACATTATATGAATTTCCTGAGAAAACATGCTGTAGTATGTGCTTACAGGTAAATGCAGAGGTTTCCTCAGCTTTGCACCAGCTCTGCCTACCGCAGCAGCCTGTTAAAGCAGCTTGTGTAGTCTGTGAGGGAGCTGACAGTGATGAACCGCTGCAGTGCACATGTAAGTGTGTGTCTCTTGTACAGATATATATACTTTTACATTTATGCAAAAATATTTGTTGTACCAAAAGTCTATACTGGCTTTATGATGTCACTTCCTGTCCAGACTGCTCCATGATCATTCATAAGACCTGCTGTGACTCTGCACCTCTGTGTGTAAAGGTGAGAATTTGTGTGTTAAAAATGACACTTCACTTACAAGTGTGCTTGAAACTATGTTACGTGATTGCATCTATTTCCATAACCCAGAATCCTCACCAGGCACTTCTGAAAAGCGCTGACTCTTCAATATTACTATGTGAGAGAGACAATCGTGTTACTCTGAAATGAAATTATAACCAACCATGTCATGTAGATCTCATGTGATGATATATATTTCATTAACAGACTCGTCAAGTCATAGTTCTCCATCTCTGTCTCTGGTCAATGACACCACGTCACACAGGTCTGTTTATGTCTTCCATAAGCTTAATTTGTCTTTGTCACTGTTTACATTTTGAGATGCTTTGTATGTTTCTGTATCAGAAAGCGGAGTAACAGTGAGGGGTGTGGCCATGATTTCACTCTACGCAAAAGCAAGTCTTTTATTGGTCGTTCTTCTGGAAGCCCCACCTCCAGTGAGTTCACCCAGTTATTCCAAACCTGTATGACCTCCTTACTTCTGTGGAAATCAAAAGGTGCAGAATTTCCTGCCCGATTTTTTTCCATGCAATAAAATGAAATGGGAACTGGGGCTATTGAGTATCATTGAGATGCTATTATAGTTTTTACAAATTTTTTTAATTAGTTTTTATATTTTTAATTAGTTTTAGTTTATTTTGCTGTGTTTTTGTTATTTTAATTTGTTTTTAAATACGTCTATATTGTTTTTATTAATTTTGTATCAATTTTAACTTGCTGAAAGTATCTGAAATAAAACTAGCTGAAATCAAATTTATAATTTATATTAATACATTAAGTGAATACTATAATTTATAAATATTCTAAATGTATAAATAATAGGGTTGTAAAGGGGTGAAACATTTCCGGTAAGTTTCCGGAAACTTGACCAAAAATCCCCGGAATATTCCAAAAAAAAAAAAATCCTGGAAAGTTTCCAAAATTTCTGGAATGTTTCCCAATTTTCCACCTTTTTGCAACCCTAATAAATAATATATTAAATGTGTGTTTTGTATTATATACTGTATATTACATTTATTAAATGTATTTTAGTTTTTTAGATTTTTTTTATTTCTGGTAATATTTATTTTAAGTAATGAAAATATTTTTATGGTTTTAGCTTTAGTTAACTATTATAACCCTGCTGTTGATCTCTAAAAATAACAAAAAAGCAAGTACGACTTGTGTGTGATTTTTATTTTATTTATTATTTTAATTCTGAAGCCAGGTTTGATGTCAGTGATGATTGGAACCAGTGACGTTTGCTGTCATTCATGTCAAATAACATGATTTTTGGCCAAACTGTAGTCTTTCCAAACACTTTTTCATATCTTTGCCAGATTCTACTGATTCTTCAGCTCACATATCATTTGACTACTCGGCTGAATCTTGGAGCGCTGTCGTGGACAATGAATTTAGTAGGACACTGGACAAAAAGGTGATCAAGAGACAGGAGATCATCTATGGTCAGTAATTATGACTGCAAAGCCTGTTTTGGATTGATATGTTTGGATATCAGAAGTTTGGATGCTTTAGTTAAGCCTAATTTGATTTGTTAGTGACGTGTTTGTTGCAGAGCTGATGCAGACAGAATTTCACCATGTCCAGACTCTCTCTGTTATGGCTGATGTTTTGAGGCGGGGACTGTTGGAGGACGTGCAGCTGGAGCAGGACGTGATTGCTCAGATGTTCCCCAGGCTGGATGAGCTCTTAGCTTTGCATAAAAACTTTCTTATAGACATGGAGAACAGACAGCGGACGTCTGTTCACCCAGGAATGCACAAGAACTACATCATACGACAAATTGGTGATATTCTGTGTCAGCAGGCAAGGGAGAACCCAAACATTTGAAGACTTGAAATTGATCAATTTACATATTGTGGATGAACAAGTTTAGCTCTTAGGTTCATTTAGCATTTGCTTATGTAGTTTGCAGGCCGAAATGCTTCTCAGATGATAGAGCTGTACGGTGATTTCTGCAGTCAGCATCCAGAAGCACTGAAAATGTATAAGCAACTACTACAGAGCAACAGGAAACTACAGTTATTTCTCAGAGTAAGTTGATTAAGCACACACAAAAACACTCATACAAAACAGATTTCTGATGATGACCATATTTGTTGCTTCTACAGCAGCAGAGTAACAACTCTGTCATCAAACGCCGTGAAATCCCTGAATTCCTGTTGCTTGTTACTCAGAGAATCACAAAGTACCCTGTTCTGGTAGAGAGACTCCTTCAACACACTGATGGTAAATACATCTTTGTAGAAGCTGGTAAATTGCAATTAATGATCAGTTAAATATGAATAAATATTACTTTTAAAATTAATATAATGTATATTATTGTAAATGTCAGTTACTATATGATATTTTAATTTAAATGTAATTTTTATTCATATTTAACTGATCATCCATATTCACATAATTTATATAATGAACAGATTATTATTATTATTGTTGACTCCTTCAACACACTGATGATACTATGTACAATTTAAGTTTAAATATAATTGGTATTCATATTTAACTGATCTTTCCTGTAAAGAAAGTAAAAATATAATGGAAGTAAAATATACATATGAATTTGCACTATTAAAAATGAGTGCAAACTGATACATGATATTTCATAATTATTCGGAGAGATCTGATTGATCACTCTTGTGCTGTGCTGTGCTGTCACTCCTGTAGATGGCAGTGCTGAGCGCTATGATATTGCAGTGGCACTGGAGGGTCTTCGGGGATTGATAGAGGAGGTGGAGCGATGTGTGGGAGATTACCAGTGTGCAAAGAAACTCCAAGATATCATAAGTCGCCTAGACAACAAGAGTTGCACTCGCCTGAAGAACGGCGAGATCTTCGGCAAGCAAGACCTGCAGAAAACACACCGAACTCTCACACACTCTTCAGCGCTGACTTGTAGGACCACCTCTGGCAGACTGAGAGGTCCTACTGCCATGTGTGTTTCTATTTTTTTTCCACTAATGTATTATTTAATTCCGTTCCCAGTGCCTCTTTCTCTCTTTTACAGATGTTTTTGCGCTGCTCCTCACAGATGTTTTGGCTTTCCTTCAGGAGAAAGAGCAGAAGTTTGTCTTTGCTGCACTGGTACAGAAATATGTATACATAATATATACATTATATTGTATTTTTCTGTCCCTAAGCAAGTGTTTGTGCACTTAAAGGGTTAGTTCACCCAAAAATGAAAATTCTGTCATTAATTACTCACCCTCATGTCGTTCCAAACCTGTAAGACCTCCATTCATCTTCGGAACACAAATTAAGATATTTTTGATGCATTCTGACAGCTCTCTGACCCTTCCATAGACAGCAATGTTACTACCACGATCAACGTCCAGAAACGTAGCAAGGAGATCGGTAAAATAATCCATGTGACATCAGGGGTTCAACCGTAATATTACGAAGCTACGAGAATACTTTTTGTGCGCAAAAGAAAAAGAAAAAACATAAATAAAATAACTTAATAGTAGGGTCAGAGAGCTGTCAGAGTGCATCAAAAATATCTTAATTTGTGTTCCAAAGATGAACGAAGGTCTTACAGGTTTGAAACGACATGAGGGTGAGTAATTAATGACAGAATTTTTATTTTTGGGTGAACTATCCCTTTAAGAAATCAAAATATGAATTCACTTTTAAATACATTGTGTCTTCAGGAGCAGAAGCCGTCTGTGATGCCCTTGCGAAGGCTCATTGTGAGGGAAATAGCCAATCAGGAGAGAGGATTATTTCTGATCAGTGGTGATTGCTCTGTAGGGCCTGAGATGTACGAGATACACACACAAACTCGTGAGGAACGCAACACATGGATGACACTGCTGAGACAGGCTGCTGATAGGTGCGTTAGACCTAGAGAGAGTTTTAATTTGTCTTGAATGACATTTTTGAAGTCTGTACACTACCATTCAAAAGTTTGGGTCAGTAAGCTTTTTTATTTATACATTTTTTTTTTACAAGAAATTAATACTTATATTAGCATGGACACGTTAACACACAAGGATACATAAATTGATCAACATTTGTAATTTATAATGTTAGAAAAGATTTGAATTTCAAATAAATGCTGTTCTTTTGAACTTTCTATTTATCAAAGAATCCCTTAAAAAATAGTCAGTTTCCACAAAAATATTAAGCAGCACAACTGATTTCAGCATTGATAATAATAAGAAATGTTTCTTGAGATTTCTGAAGGATCGTGTGACACTGAAGACTGGAGTAATGATGCTGAAAATTCAGCTTTGCATCACAGAAATAAATACATTAGAATAGAAAATGATAATACTATTTCACAATATTACTGTTTTTACTGTATTTTTGATCAAATAAATGCAGTATAAGAGACTTCTTTCAAAAACATTAATAAATCTTATCCACTCTAAATCTTTAAACAGTGTATATTTGCATTTGTTTCAGCCTTCCTGATGATCAGACTAAGAAGAATGAGGGGGAACTCAAAGTCAAAAAGATACAGAAGTTACAAGGTACACATCCATCCATCTTTCCATCCACCTGTGCATGACTTTATCATTCCTTATGTCTGATTACTTGTGTATGTGTAGAGATGCTGTTTTCTCTGGACCTGCGGCTGTGCTCTGTTATTGAGGAGAAGTTAAAGATCTGTAGAGGGACTGGTAGATGGAGTCTGGCTACCTGCCGCCTTCTCGTTCAGCCACACCCTGAAAACACCCCTCAAGGTGTCGCATTACTGTCTGACGCACAGGAAGAGGGTAATGAATCTGTCTTTCTCTCTGTGAACACACAGTCAGGCTGTACTGATCTTCACCAAAGTCTTTTTTTCCCCAGTGGTGAAGCTGGCTATCACTTTGTTGACTTGGCTTTTTCCTTGCATATGGTCACCAAGTAAACATGACAACTTAGGCCAGGAAAGAGCAAGCCGTGAGTAATCAAATTACTAACACTCAAACTGAAAATTCAGCTTTGCATCACAGAAATAAATACATTAGAATAGAAAATGATAATACTATTTCACAATATTACTGTTTTTACTGTATTTTTGATCAAATAAATGCAGTATAAGAGACTTCTTTCAAAAACATTAATAAATCTTATCCACTCTAAATCTTTAAACAGTGTATATTTGCATTTGTTTCAGCCTTCCTGATGATCAGACTAAGAAGAATGAGGGGGAACTCAAAGTCAAAAAGATACAGAAGTTACAAGGTACACATCCATCCATCTTTCCATCCACCTGTGCATGACTTTATCATTCCTTATGTCTGATTACTTGTGTATGTGTAGAGATGCTGTTTTCTCTGGACCTGCGGCTGTGCTCTGTTATTGAGGAGAAGTTAAAGATCTGTAGAGGGACTGGTAGATGGAGTCTGGCTACCTGCCGCCTTCTCGTTCAGCCACACCCTGAAAACACCCCTCAAGGTGTCGCATTACTGTCTGACGCACAGGAAGAGGGTAATGAATCTGTCTTTCTCTCTGTGAACACACAGTCAGGCTGTACTGATCTTCACCAAAGTCTTTTTTCCCCAGTGGTGAAGCTGGCTATCACTTTGTTGACTTGGCTTTTTCCTTGCATATGGTCACCAAGTAAACATGACAACTTAGGCCAGGAAAGAGCAAGCCGTGAGTAATCAAATTACTAACACTCAAATTGTTGTATAACAGAAAACAATTTCATTATTGTTTAAAGGAACCACATTACAGGACTATTTTTCACTCTCCGGCATTTTTCTGTCCAGATAATGAACAAAATTTGGCAAGTCGGAGCAGGAGGAGTGCTTTGGTAGGAACAGGGGTGGGGCCTCTCACAATAGCCCCTATAAGCCCCGCCCACCAGACTTATTTAAAGGTAAACACATTTGCAAGCAATTTACTACATATTTGAAACACAAGCAGATAATGATATATATGTTAATTGTTTGTAAAACCATTTTTATACAGATTGCCCCATTCAATTCAGTGGAACAATTTATGTAATAATAGAATTATTAATAATTTTTATATAGAAATTCTGCTCATGCATCATGAATGAGGTCTGTTTTGTCTGTTTAGCGTATATGATTATAATACATGGAATATGTGCATTTTCTCTACCAATCCAGGTAGCGGAGGGTGTTCACAACTTAATCCACATACTCTACAGTCTGCAGGTGTGAGCCATTGATTAACTTTTAATAAATCTAAATGTTTATTTGTTTGTGTAATGTATACATATCACTGTTTTTTTGAAGGCTGCAATAATAATCCAAGACAGCTGCTTTGAGGTTCAAAATCTCCTCCTCCTCGAGGGAGAAGCTCCGCCCCCAACTCTTACAAGTGATCATGATGTCAAAAGGGTGGGTGTGGCAGTTTTTCTTACAGCATGTTTATCTAGAATGTGATAGTTACATGTAGGTATTATATAATGAAGTAGAGTTTATTTGAAGCGTGTTCCAGACTCTTAAAGGAATAGTTCACCCAAAATGGAGAATTATACTGAAAATGTACTCAGCCTTAGACCATCCAAGATGTAGTTGAGTTTGTTTCTTCATTGGAACAGATTTGGAGAAATTTAGCATTGCATCACTTGCTCACCATTGGATCCTCTGCTGTGAATGGGTGCCATCAGAATGAGTCCAAACAGCTAAGTAAAAACATCACAATAATCCACAAGTAATCCACATGACTCCAGTCCATCAATTTCACCTGTGAAGTGAAAAGCTGCCTGTTTGTAAGATACAAATCCATCATTGAGGCGTTTTAACCAAAATATGAATCCACTATCCATATTACGCTTCCTTCAGTGAAAAAGTCAATTTCCTGTTGTCCTCTCACATCAAAGTCCACCAACACATTTGTTTAGAACTATTTTTGATCTGTGTGGATTATTGTGATGTTTTTATCAGCAGTTTCAACTCTCATTCTGACGGCACCCATTCACTGCAGAGGATGTGATGCTAAATTTCTCTAAATTGTTTCTGATGAAGAAGCAAACTCATCTACATGGCCTGAGGATGAGTACATTTTCAGCAAATGTTCATTTTTGGGTGAACTATTCCTTTAATGCTATTTACACTTATTGCACTTCCTGTATCACTGTCTCCGCAGCAGAGTTTGGAGTGTGGCATGGTCAAGGGGACAGAGGCTGTGCAGCAGAAAGAACTGGAGCAGAGAGAAAAAGAGCATGCTGAACTGACAGACAGACTGGCGAAAGAAAGAGCAGTTTGAGGAGGAGCTGCGGCTGTTTGAGGAGAAGACGAGGAAACTGAGAGAAGAGGAGAAGAGAGTGAAGGAAGAGAGAGAAAGATTAAAGGAAGAGGGGAAGAAAGTGCTAAAAGAGAGGAAGAGTCTGGAGACACAGATAAGACTCATTCAACACAATTCAAATCATCGGCAAGGCATCTTGCCTTCTATCATATCACTGGAGAAATGATATGTGTGTGATATGATATGAGCATTTATATGTATGTATTAAGTTTTTATGTGTTTTAGTGTTAAAGAGACATTGCTGTGTTTTACTGGCAGAGTTGGAGACAAGATCTGACCTTCAAGAGCAAGACCAGGCTGTTCATTTGAAAGAAGTGAAATGGAGAAAACAGTATATATATTTGGTTTTCAGAGCCTGTTTTTCAGAGTTGTCTGAAATGATGATGATAACATGTCAGCGATTGGTTGAGGTAATTATCACTTTTAGTAAAATGGAAATGGACTGCAGTCTTGTCTGAGACCATAAGTCAAGATCTAGACTATGTTTATGTAGTCTCAAGATCATGACTCCAACTCTGCTTAGTGGTGAAGTGTATCAAAATTGTACCACACTATAAGTCTTTGGTGGAGATGGCAAATCATCAGTCAAAACTCTTAAAATCTGATTATTACTGTATTATTATTGTGGCTCTAGTATTTGAATAATACTGGAGTGTCATTCTGTTTGTTGACAATCTTAAACATATTCAGACATCCGTCACACGTTTTTGCATGTGTATTTGCTGAATATTATTCAAATGACTAACAATCACCATACCCTTATTTTGCAAACACCACAGGTAACTTAGAAATACCCCAGATTTCTGCTTTTAGAAAGTGAAGCACCATCTTTGTTCAAATTTCTGTAAGTAGAGTTTTAACTGGTTGCAGGCCGGACAGACTGGGGATGTACAAGTCTTCGCCGCAGCCTGACCACAGCAGAGTCCACACTGGCTGCGGCATGCTTTCCATACTTGTCATCCTCCAGCTGCTGATGAGCGACCTGCAGCTCTGTGATCTCTTTCCCTGAGGATTCCAGATGTTTCCGGAGCATAGTACTGCCCTGAGAGTATAAGGGAATGTATGTGTTAACAGTTCACACTGTGGTAAACAAAGCTATAGTTTTTAATTTAGACTATCAGCTTACACTACCGTTCAAAGGTTTGGGATCAGTACGTTTTTTTTAAAAGAAATTATTGCTTTTCCTCAACAAGGATGCATTAAATTGACCAAAAGTGACAGTAAAGACTTATGTTTTTACAAGTTCTATTTACATTTAGTTTTTTACTTTCTATTCTTCAAATAATCTTGAAACAAAGGTTTTCACAAAAATATTAAGCAGCACAACTGTTTTCAGCACTGATAATCAACATTGATGACAAATGTTTCTTGAGTAGCAAATCAGCATAGAATGATTTCTGAAGGATCGTTTGAATGAAGACTGGAGTAATAGCTGCTGCAAATTTAGCTTTGCCATCACAGAAATAAATTGTTTTAAATATATTAAAATAGAAAAGTTATGTTAATAATATTTCACAATATTACAGTTTTTACTGTTTTTTGAATACAGCCTTGGTGAATATTAGAGACTAATTTAAAAAACAAAAAACAATCTTACTGGCCCCAATCTTTTGAACAATATGTAGATTATGTATCTTTACTTGCATCTTTACATTTTAAAAATATGATGTACTCTTTGTGCTTTGCATGAGTGTTTAAATTAAATTATAAGCAGTTATACTGTCATAGTGTTTTTTTTTTAAATGTATATTGTCTAAGTGTTGCTGCATATACAAAAAAGGGTAACACTTTACTTGAAGGGGTGTGCATAAGACTGACATGACACCTTCATAATCATGACATGACACATGTCATGAATATGAAGGAGGTTTTATGCATGTTTATGACAACTGTCATTAAGTGTCATTCGCTCAGTTATGTCATTTTTAATGCAAATATGACATTATTTGACCTAACCCTACCCCTACCCTTACCCCTAACCATAGCCCATAACAAAGACATCTCAAACAATGTCATCTTTGCATTAAAAATTACATAACTGAGCGAATGACACTTAATGACAGTTGTCATAAACATGCATAAAAAACCTTAATATTCCATGTCATGATTATGAAGGTGTCATGTCAGTCTTATGCACACCCCTTCAAGTAAAGTGTAACCCAAAAAAGATTAGGAAGTATTGCACTTTATGATTGACAGATCATAGAGGAATGTTTTGAATGTTAGATTACATCCAATGCTCTGACCTGTGTTAGGAGATCGGATTCTGGCAGCCCAACACTTGAATGCCGCCCATACAGCTGAGTCATAGGCCTGCTCAATCTCTCACGACAAAACAGATCAGCACTGCAGACTGGGCCCTGCAAGGAAGGAATACATCTTCGTTAATAAGTGAGTGAAAAAGTCACGAAAAGAATGGTAACATTATGCAGAATGTAGGATTTTTAGTAGCAATTTAAGATTAATTTTAGTGGGTTCATGTGGGTAAGGGTTAAAGTAGTTTTCACAACCTCAATATATGCACTTGAAAATAGGGCTGCACAATTAATGCAGTTTACAATTACGGATGCCACAATTACGCAATCATTTGTATAACATTATAATACCATGCATATTTTTACTTTTTTATTTAAAGAAGTATCCAATCCAATGTATAGTTGACATTTGAGGCTAAATACTGTAGAAAAGCAATAAAAGTTTTTCAGTTAGTGTTTTTTTGCTTGTTTATTTTCATATAAAAATATGGCATGCAATTGCTTCAAACAATGGTACAAACATTATTCAGTGTAATAATCGTAATTAATAATCGCAATTACAATTTCAAGGGAATAATCAACAATTCGGATTTTTGTCACAATCGTGCAGCCCTACTTGAAAGTCACTTTGGTAGTAAATTAGTACCACAGTCTATTAATAAAAACATACCATAGCTCTGCCAAGACTGTAGCCAGCACATTGCATCTGTCTCTGTTTGCGGTAAATGGCCTGTCTTGTGGCAGCTGAGCTCAGTGTCAGATGTTGCTGATGAGGAAGAAGAAAAAGGTATATATACCTGAATACAGTAAACTAGTCCAGAACATTTCATTACCTTAGATCAAAATCACATTTAATTCCTCAAATACAAAGTAGGAGCAGAGCAAATGCATTATGCTTGTAATTATGCCAGCAAAACATTGGGTATTTCCTTACATTTCCATTTATTTCTGCTCTTTTGAATATTTATTGTACCTCTGGAGAACGTTCTGCAAATCCCTACAGCCTTTCAATGTCCATCATTATTCCCTGTCCATTGCATATACACTACTGTTCCAAAGGTTTGGGTCTGTAGGATTTTCTGATGATTTTTTTTTTTATTAGTCTCTTATGCTCAACAAGGCTGCATTTATTTGAGCAAAAATACAGTAAAATAAGTGTTTTCTATTTGAATACATTTTAAAATGTAATTTCTGATGACAAAGCTGAATTTTCAGCAGCCATTACTGCCGTCTTCAGTGTCACACGATCCTTCATAAATCAATCTAACATGCTGATTTGGCACTCAAGAAACATTTCTTATTAATTTGAAAACAGTTGTGCTGCTTAATATTTTTGTGTAAAAGTATATAATATCAACATTTAACACATATTGTCACATTCAGTTTCACTCTGCAGAATTCAGTCTGGGCCTTCAAATCATAATTTAGTATTCCTTCCACTCTCCACTATAATCACACACCTCTAGGTTGATAGTTTCAGTGATTTTGTTCAGCAGGGCCTCGCTGGCTGAACGGTGCATATCGGTTTGCTTTGTGATGACATCACTCATGACTTGTGAAATGTTCTCTCTGAGCTGCTGAGATTCACGTAGTACTGTTGATGAAGAATCCAAAGCCTGTTTGCACTCTTAATGACAGACAGAGTGAGATTAGGTACCAGCGGTCGTTCACTGTCTGCATGCAAGCTTGGGTGACAGAGACAAAGGAAGGGTGAGAGACTTTAAGAGAAAAGTGGCATGGGGTACCTGGGGTGAACGGTCCAGCGGGGTCAGGTTTCAGTAAGAGGGGAGAAGGGTATGTTTTCACACCCGCTGAGAGTGAGCCATGCTGGGGAAGCAGCTCTGTTACTCTGGATCTCTCAAAGGCACAATCCAACAACTGCTTACTGCTCTCAGCCAAAGCCTCAAAATAAAATAAAATAAAACAGAATACAGCTTTTTTTTCAGTCCTGATGAAAGAGTTTAATTCTACTGAACATGTAAGTTCAACTTGAGACCGTTCATTTGCTAATGCAAAATTATATTTAGTGAATCATCCACAACTTGTTCAAAAGTTTGTAGTCGGAAAGATTTTCTAATGTTTTTGAAAGAAGCCTCTTATGCTTACCTATTTGATCAAAAATACAGTAAAAACAGTAATATTGTGAAATATTTTTAACAATTTAAAATAATTATATTCAATTTTTTTATATTATAAAATGTAATTTATTCCTGTAATGGCAAAGCTGAATTTTTAATGTCACATGATCCATCAGAAATCATTCTAATATGCTGATTTGGTGCTCAAGAAACATTTCTTATCAGTGTTGAAAATTGTTCTGCAGCTTAATATTTTTATGAAAACCATGATTCTGAATAGGTTAAAAGAACGAAGTATGGAGATCAGAAGAACAGAATTTATTTAAAATAGAAATCTTTTGTAACATAAATGTCTTTCATGTCACTTTTGATCAATTTATTGCATTCTAAAAACAAATAAAAAAACTTTTTTGTTTTTGAATGGTAGTGTACATAAATTAAAGTTCAGATTATATAGTTTAGACTAGATAGTATTTTAGAAACTTTTTTGTTTTTGAATGGTAGTGTACATAAATTAAAGTTCAGATTATATAGTTTAGACTAGATAGTATTTTAGAAATTAAACTGTCAAAAGAGTGGCCTGAACAGTGGTGTGAAAACATTCCTTTATAGGCATTAGATATATCTACATGATATTATATATCCAACAAGGCCTATGTTTCACCTGTTGTTGAGTTAAAGTCTTTCTCAACATGCTCTCCAGTTCTTGTTTTAGCACATTCAGGCCTCTTTGTTCTTTGTGTAGAAGATCATCAGCTCCATCCAGTATCTTGACAAAACATAGAGTGGAAGCCATGAACTCTTTATTTTTCAACAAGGATATTTAATATATTTTGTAAGTCCACATTTGATCTCTTTAACCTCTTATGGGGTCACTTTAAATTAGACTACCAGTCATTTTACTGTATATACTGTAGCTACTCACTGTCTCTGTGGTGGCCGGTCGAAATGTCCTTCCGTCTGCACTTTGCTGATTGACCAGCAATGCTTTCCTTAGACTGCGGAGCAATTTTTCCAGTTGTTCCCTTTGATGCTCCACCCTGGTGCCCTCCTGTGTGACCCTACCTGCTTGTCTGCGCAGGTGACCCTCCACCTCTCTCACACCCCGCATATATTCACCCGTCATACCGGTGCTGACAACTGCACTCTGATCACGCAGGGCCGGCGGGGGGAACGGCCTGCTCATGACTCCAGAAGTGAGCTATGAAAGAAAAACAATGTTTTATCATATTGTTGGAATATGGAATGTACTTCTAATGAACATGTACAGTAAATGCAACTTGAGTCCTAATTCTAGTCTTATCATATTCAGGTATATCATCATATATTAATGTTCATAAATGTTTTTGAAATGAGTTATATTATGCTCACTGAGACTGCATTTATTTGATCAAAAATACAGTAAAATTAAATTATAAAAATATTATTACAACTTAAAATGACTTTCTATTTTAATATATTTAAAAATGTAGGCCTAATAATGGTTAACTTGAAACGGGTTTCTCATCGCTCAATACCAAATAAAATATCTAGTGTAGAGGCTAATGATCGATATATTTTAATTTAATGTCAATCACAGCATAAAAATTATATTCCAAAACTTTTGCTTGCTTGCTTTCCAAAAAAATTTGCGTTCGCTTGCAAAACTTTTGCGTTTCTCAGGGGCACGTTTTACGAACAAACGCAACATTTCTCGAGGAAACGTATCAGTTTTGCGAAAGAACCCGAAAGCATTCGAATATAATTTTTCATAATATTTTTTTTCCGTGTTTTTGAAAAAAAGTTCCAGCAAAATTGTATTGACAATTAAGTTATACACCGCAGCTTCGAGCACATTAGTGCTGAAATAAATTGAATATTCAATATAAAAATATTAAGCATTCAAACTTAAATTAAAATGTTGTTTAATTAAGAAATGTGAAATGTAAACCATATTCATAATTAACGATCTGCAATGACTGGTGCGCACTACCTCGTGATGACGCAACGCTGCATTGACCAATCAGAAACCAGGACCGGAATTGTGCGTTTTATAATAACAAACAGGCATTTTGCTGCTTGGTTTTAAATAAATGAGCCACCATATCACCTTCTGAGGTACTTTACCATACTTCCAGTGGAGTTAGGTCGGAATTCGTCTTTCTTTTCCGAGCCACTCTCATTGTGCTCCTTTTCGACGCTGCTGTTCACACTGTATGCTGTTAACGGAGGAAGTCTGTGGGTAACGTTAAATGTCCCGACGCTGTGGCTGCGGTAGCGTGTAGATGAGTGCAGTTGATCTACGTGAGTTTGACGCAGAAGATCCTCGGCGCGCAGAATCGAGCGGACAGTCGCGTCCCTCCAGCCTTTAGATCCCACAACCGCAGCCGGGGGAGCGGACTGGACCGGCCGCTTCATGGTCATGGTAACGTACTTATCTACTTTACTTCACCATCAGTGGAACAATCCGAATAACTCCAAAGTGTTTGGGTTTAAAAGTGTTGGTTGTCTCCAACGCAACCGTTCCTCAAGTGACCGTGTGCGCGCGCAGAGCTCTGATTGGGTAACACGAGACGCACTAATGAATGAGTGTCAATGCAGGCAGTTCATGCAGTTCCATTCACACTGCAGCTCAATCATGATGAGTGTGCTGGGATGTGCAACAGAGTTTCCTAAATTAGTCTGGCACAATATATAAATTTTTAAAAGAAATAAACCGTTACAATGAAGATTTTTCTCATAAATAAGCATCATAATTGAACACTGTAACACTATTGACATTAGAAAAGTTCAACTTGTCGAGATACCGAGAAAATTAAGTTGTTATAATGAGAAAACAACTATCGTTATGTCGATATAACGAGAAAATAAGTCGTTATAACGAGAAAACAACTCTCGTTATGTCGATATAACGAGAAAATAAGTCGTTATAACGAGAAAACAACTCTCGTTATGTCGATATAACGAGAAAATAAGTTGTTATAACGAGAAACAAGAAGGAAAAAAAAAATAATGCATGGCCGCTTAGAACTTCCATACCAGTATGATGCTTTCAGCATCAGTTAAGGCCGATGAGAGGCTTGAGATCTCCTGCAGCATGGTGGCGCTGAGCTCCTCTCTATCTCTGAAGCTCGCTGCCAGCAGAGCTTCTTTCTCTCGCAGCTGATTGACTAATCCAGCCTCAGCTCCGCCCCCTTCCAATCCCCGTCCAATCAGTGAGTCTGAGAGTGCCTATGGGGAAAATGTTAATAGTTGACTACTGGAAATTATACATTAACTAAATCAACTGAACTTTGCAAAAGAGGTCAAATCAGACAGAGGGCGATAACGCCACGTCTACCTGCACATCTCTGCGTGAACTCTCCAGTGCCTCTTTTAGCTGGGAAATATAGTCTTTGTTCTCCTTCACCAGTGCAGTCAGAGCTGAATCTCTCTCTTTCCACACTTCCCATTCTTTCATAATCTCCTGTTGGGCTCGATCCCTCTCCGCAAGCTCTACACGCAGGTGCTATTAGAAGATACAAAACATTGATTTTCTTCACATTATAGATTAGCAAGCTGAATAATTTTTTACTGTTTAACAATGTTTTTCATAATGCAAACCATTCAAACTATTGGGAAACTAAACCCCACTGCACTTTGAGAACCCTGTTTTCTGTATAAGAGGTCTCAATGCCTCATTTACTCTCCAATGAATAGCACTCATGTATAATAGCAGCAGTTACTAACCAAGTGATGAAGTAAACAGTATGTGTGTACCGTTGAATAAGAGCACTGTTTGTTTGACTCACGTTAATAACATCCTGGTTACACTGGAGCACAGTGTTGAGTGTGATGAAGTCTCTGTCTCTCTCTCTGCCAGCGTCTCTCATGGCCTGCAGCTGTTTCTCCAGAGTTTTCTCTTTTTCGCTCACCTCAGACAGCTGGGCCTCCAGGACCACCTGATTAAAACATTAACATAAAAATTAAGTATAAGCACTGTGGAATAATGTGCATGTGTTTTCAGCATTACCTGGACCAAGCAAACACACAACTGCTCTTGTACTCAGGTTAATTACCCCACAAAACTCACACTGACTGGGTGTGTTAGCCAGAACTTCAATGTAGGCTCAGTCTGTGTGTACTACTTGTAAGGGTCAAATAACTAAAGAATATAGTAAAACCGATTTAAAATTACTGTTCCCACAAATTGAAACTGAAATAAAGAATGCTACTGTTCAAACATTTGGGGTTGGTAAATTTTTTAAAATGTTTTTGAAAGAAGCATGCTCACCGTGGCTACTTTTTTCTTTGAAAAATACAGTAAAACAGTAATATTTTGAAATATTATTACAATTTAAAAACCATTTCTGTTTTTTTTAATATATATTAAAATGTAATTTATTCCTCTAATGGCAAAGCTGATGTTCCTTCAGAAATCCTTCTGATAGGCTAATAAAACGTATTGACCTCAAACTTTCAAATGTAGTGTTTATTTGTAATTTATTTACTTATATATAAATTTTCCAAGATGCTTTGATGAATAGAAAATATTATATATAAATATAATTGAAAATATATATTATTATTATTATTACTACTATACTATTACTACTACTTATTATAGGAAGCTGTCAAAAGGAAAATCATATTTCAATAATTGACTAAATTATGCTTTCATTCACTTCTAAAGTGAAAGTGACGTGACATGTGGCCAAGTATGGTGACCCATACTAGGAATTAGTGCTCTGCATTTATCCCATCCTAAGTGTACACACACAGCAGTGAACACACACACACCATGAACACACACTCGGAGCAGTGGGCAGCCATTTATGCTGCGGCGCCCGGGGAGCAGTTGGGGGTTTGGTGCCTTGCACAAGGGCACCTCAGTCGTGGTATTGAAGGTGGAAGAGAGCGCTGTACATTCACTCCCCCCACCTACAATCCCTGCCGGACCTGAGACTCGAACTCGCAACCTTTTGGGTTACTCCCTAACCATTAGGCCACGACTTCCCACATAATGGCACACTTTTTATTATATGATCCGGTTTAGGGTTAGTCTATAGTAATTATAATAATTATCTTAATTTAGGAACAACGGAGGTCTGAGCAGTCTTCATTTAAACCGCTCAGTTTGTTCATCAGTTAGACCTCACCTCGCGTTCACTGCGTGTATCAGTCACTGCGCTGGCCAGTTTTTTGACGAGTTTGTCAGTGTCCTGTGATTCCAGCCCCTGCTCAGCACACAGCTTCTGGATCAAAGTCACACATTCCTGAAGTGAGGGAAGCACAGAGTTCACTGACACATCCGTGACCTCCACACAATCCGTTTTTATCCTGAATCTATAATGAGTTCATTGATTCAGTACTTACCTGGATTACGTTCTCTCTGCTGTGCAGTGATTGGCTAAGACTCTCTATGAGGTCATTTTTATTTTTCAGACTGGTCTATGTGGCAAAACAGATCAGATGTCTCCTACAGAATCCTTCCTGTCCCCTTCATCCTCACTGGAACTTCCGTTTCTCCTTGAAGTAGACATGCGGCGCTGATCGTACATGCTTTGCACCCATCGCCTGATCTTGTCCCTTTCCTGAGTGAGTTTCTGGAGTCTCTCACTTGACAGCACTCGGACTCTGGCAATGACGGTGTCGAACTTGAAAACTCGCTCCAAAACGGACACACACTTGCCGCATAAAAACTCCCCCTGACCGTCCCCACGTGGTACAGACTGCTCTAATATATGTGTCAGCACACAAAGCAGGTCGATTCCTTTCGTGGGGGTGAGCAGGCCACGAGACTTCGATAGCGAATGGGAGGAGCTTAGTGATAAAGTGCTGCCTAGAAATAAAAGATAAAGGACATATTCATAATTATAATCAAACATGCAATATTTTTAAAATGTACTCATTATTTAAAACCTATGCAGCATTTTAATAGCTTCAATAATTAAAAGTAATAATGCCGAAATAAGCGTTTTTTTCTATTCTCCATTTTATTTAAAAATGTATACAGTAATAGCAAATGTAATGTACTTAGACATGTTATCTGCAGGTCATACCCCATGGGCTGCTTTGTGCCGATCTGGGCAAGCTTCCCTTGCTAGAAAAGTCTGTCGGTGTTTGAGGTTGTGCCCCCTTTCGGTTCTGACCTGCATACAGCCATCGCCGCTGGTTACCTTGCAGGTCATTCCCACAAATGCGGCAGCCTTCACTTCGAGTGGTCATCATAAAAAGGTGCAGCAGGTGCCCTAATAATAATAATAATAATAATAATAATAGCACAATACAATAATAATAATTCAATAATAAAACAAATCTTTTAAAAAAAGTATTTGAAGTGTTTCATGGAAAAAAATGAATTAATGATACAGCATGATACTGGCACCTGAGGTGCAATTTAAAGCTTCTAGAACAATATACATATACTTTACACACCTGAATAAATCTATCAGTAGTTAACTGTTGTCCTTTGGCTGGGGTGGAGCTAGTGAATGACAGCTCACTCTCCCCCACTGACAATCTCAGTGTTTACATGGGCTGAACACATCGGCCTTGAGCTCTAAACACACACACACAAAATATGCTTTATAAAACAAAATTGATGCGTTTATTGAGGACTATAACTGGACACCACGCTAGCATAGTTCATCCAAAAATCGAATTTATGTAATAATTTACTCACATAATGTTGTTCCAAACCTGCCTGGAACACAAAAGGAAACGTTAGGTGACTGACAGCCACAGTCACAGTCACCATTTACTTTCTTTGCAACTTTTTCCATACAATAAAAGTGAATGACTGTGGCTGTCTGTCTAAAATCTCCTCTGTTCCACAGAAAAAAGAAAGACATATAAGTCAGGAACAACATCAGGTGAATAAACGATGACAGAATGTTCTTTTTTTGTGTGGCTAACTTCACTATTCCTTTCAAACAGATCTATGAAAAACTAGCACGAGCGCTTTAACGCAAATAAATTATGTAAATAAGTGACGCGTTGGCAGAGAACTTTCCATACGATGACTAATCTCAGCAGCCCTCTGTTTCGCTCTCCGTGTGCTCATTCACACATGATTTTAAACCTCTATCACAGCGATAAACTACGGCTGATAAAACCACACGCGAAACTGACTTTTGTCTCCCGGAATGTCAGAATGACCCTGCTGAGGACAAAGCATGATATGATAGACCAAACAACTCTTCAACACAGCCGTCAACTGACCTGACAAGTTACGAGAAACGAAAATATCCCATTACAATCGCAAACGGACAGATAAAATCGCTTACCGACGCTCAGGAAGCGTCTTCACGGTCTCGAGCAGAAGCTCTCGCGCGTCCAGACCGGAGTGGTAGCCACCGCGCGCCGCTCTATCCTGCTGACGTCACCATAAAATACCTGTTGCAACTCCAGCTGTGTGCACAATCATGCGCATGCGGTAATAAA